GAATTATTATATTCCAGACATGTTTCTCATAAATAGACTACAGCTAATTAAAAAAAATACATATAGTCTAAAATTATTTGTCTTTTATCTTAGTCCATGTAAATTTACTGTATTTACTGATATGTTTGTGTTTATTTATATCATCCTATTATATGTTTTCTCTTTGTACCTGTATTTTTACTTCTCTCTTGCATACCATTTTCATATTTTATCTTTTCCCCACTACTACTTTGGAAGTTATACTTCTATATCCATGATTTCTATAGCTTTCCTGGAAATTTTAACATATTTAAATTATCAAAATTTAAAGTCAGTCAGTGTCCTTTCCAACCTCATTAATAGTATAGGCATTTTAGAGCACATTAATTCCCATTACCTCCTTCTTATACACTATTGTCATCATATATTGTAGTTTTAATAATCCCACAAGACATTACTCTTGTGTTATTTACCATCAGTATTTTTTATATGCACTCATATATTTTCCTTTTGGGGCTAATTATTCTTCTTTTATCTTAGATTTCCTTCTGGGATCGTTTTCCTTATACCAGAAGTATATCTTTTGTAATTTATTGTAGTGAGACTGTTAGCAGCAAACTCTATCAGTTCTTGTGTGTCTAAAGATGAATTTATGTTACCCTAGTTTTTGAACGATATGTTTATTGGGTGTACACATATAGGTTGACATTTATTTTCCCTCAGTATGTTAAAGATATTATTTCATGGTCTTCTGGCTCCCATTGTTGCTGTTAGAAAGTCAGCAATTATTCTAATTATCATTGATTTAGGTAGTTTATCTTTTCTCTCTGACTGCTGTAAGATTTTCTCTTTGTCTTTGGTATTCTGCAGTTCCACTATGATATGTCTAAGTGTGACTATCTTGGTATTTACCCTGCTTTGGATAGGGCAGCTTTCTGAACCTGAAAATTAATGTCTTTTATCAGTTTGGGAAAATTCAAAGTCACTATCTATTCAAATATTGCTTTTGCCTAACCCACTCTTTATCATCTCTACTTGGAATGATAAGACATTAGACCCTCTACTCAATTCTACATGTCTTTCAACCTTTTATTTCCCCCATATCTTTTCTGTGTCTTTTGGGTTGATTTTGAACAATTTCTTTAGATTTATTTTCTAGTTTACTAATTTTATTCCTTTAACAATGTTTATGTAGCTATTCAACTCATCCATTAAGATTTTAATTGCCATTTTTGTACTTTTCATATTTGAAATTCTATCTTTATCTTAATATGACTGATCATTTATATGATGTCTTGCTTCTTATTCATATTTTCATTCTCCTTTTAATTTATGTAAACATATTCAACTGTCCATACTGTGTCTGACAGATTCAATACTCCAGGTTGTGGTGGGTCCCATTTGGCTGTCCACTGATTCTGCTGGTGTTTGCTCTTGGAACTTCCTTTTTCCCTTGTCTGTTTTTATGATGTTATTAAAACTGTGAACCCATATTCCTTGGAACTCTAGCTGTGGGAAGTTTTGTGGCCGGGGCTAAAGGAATCTTTCTCCACAGAGGATTTATGCTATACTGAGAAAATAGGCCTTCAGAGTCCCAGCTTTAGGGAAAATGAGGCAAACCTTAGGCTCCCTGTCCTCTTCTCTGTATTCTGTTATGTTGAGAAAACATAAGCTTAAGTGTCACCAAGTTCTCCAAGTATAATTGACTTAGCCTTTCTCTCGGTTCCTACTTTGACTTAATTTTTGATCTCTGTATTAGTATCCTTGGGCTGTTATAACAAAGCACCATAAGCTGGACTATCTAAAATAATAGAAATTTATTCTCTTACAGTTCTGGAGGTCAGAAATCCAAAATCAAGGTGTTCGCAGGGCCACACTCCCTCCAAAATCTCTAGGGAAGGATCCTTCCTGGCCTTTTCCTGCTGCTGGTAGCCCCAGGCACTCCTAGGCTTGTGGCAACATCGCTCCAGTCTCTGTCTCCATCTTCACATGGCGCTCTCCCTTCATGTGTCTGTGTGTCTCCATATGAGGACACCAGTCATATTTGATTAAGGGCCCACCCTAGTCGAGTATGAGCTCATCTTAACCAGATTACATCCACAAAGACCCTATTTCCAAATCACATTCACAGGTGCAGGAGGTCAACATATTCTGAGGGGGACTCAATTCAAACCATAACCGTCTCTAACAGTTTCTTGATTCCTTGTCAGCTCTTGAACACTTTCTTACATCTTCTAGCACTTTTATACTCTTCTATCCAACTTCCTGTCTCCTATTGAGTATCAGCTCTTATTTCACGCTTCTTTCATTCTGCTCATCCATGGCAGCTTTCTCCTTTTTTCCACTGTGTTGTGAATTTAGAAATTAGAAAAAAAGATTGAGTGTAAAATAAGAGTACGGCTCTATATGAGGACTCCAGTGGACATAACTGTGAATAAGGCAGAAGAAAAGTACTGCATGGACATCGCAATACCTATCCCGGGGGATGCTCAAAGGACTTTTGTCACTAGATCACTGCACGGTATCCATCTAGTCCTTTGAGTCTTAAAGATTGGGGTTGAGTCCTTACAAGTTGCATGACCTTGAGAGCATATGTAAGCTCTTAATTTCAGTTTCCTCATCTGAAAAAATGGGTATTATACTGACACACACTGTCTGGGGTGTTTTGTGGATGGAGGACATGACTGATGTGCCTAGCATGCGATCCCTGGCACAGAGCAGGTACGCAATAATTGTGCAAACAACTCCAGAGGGCACTTCAAAAGGTTCATGGAAAGATTTGTATTATTTTTTAAATGTATTTTTCCATAAAATTTTGGAAGTAAGGACTTTGAAAAGCCATGTCTTTCATTTTTACAGACAATACTGTGAGGTAATTAGGGCAAATATCCTATTTTATAGATGAGGAAGCTGAGGCACTGAGATGTTAACTCATAAAACATGAAAGAATGACAAACACTAATAACCACAGAAAATGAGAAAATCATGTTGAAGATGATCGGCAGTTCTGTATTGTATCCCTTACAGGGGCAACTGGAACTCAAATTAACTAGTCCCTCCTTCTGTAGTCAGTTTGCCAGCTGACAGAATGTTGGATCCCTGCTTTAAAAGCCACCTTCCTTTAACTCCAATGACAGTCTATCTCTGTTAAGTGGAAGGGAAGAGATGAAGAGAAAGAAAAAGCCAGGCAACATTTTATACTATCTTTTAAACCCTGAACACAAAACCACCCAGAGATATTTTAACTTGTATTTGGGAACCTCACCCAGGTCCACACTCCAGAATAGCTTTATAACCTAGGGAAGGAGAAGCCAGAAATCTCCACCACTCTGTGACCGGCTCACACACACGTTGGAAGCAGAGTTCACAAATCTAATTCCTTTCTCCTCTCCTGGACATTTTTACCCAGAGAACACAAGTGACTGGAGGTGGTCCTGCCTGCTCAGCTGATTCCTGACAGCAGCTCCTAGTGAAAAATATTACATTCAGGGGTGAACATTCATCCAGGAGCAGCACTGAAAGGAGATGGTGAGGACACAAATGGTGAATAAATGACCAGTATAGGGAGTGCTGGAGAAATGAGCGTGATTATGCAGGCGCCGTCCTCAGTGAATACATTAGCTCCCCAACAAGCCATGCATTGTGATTGCTCCCGAGCAATTTCTCAGAGTTTCCGTGAACATAGGTGTTTTCTAAGCTCAGCTCAGACAAGCTGCTCCCACTTGCAGCCCTCAAAGCCCTCGTATTAAGTCTGAGAGACAAGTCAGGACCCACACAGTGCCCATCAGCCATCGCAGGTGTTGTGAGATGCTCATTATAGGTACCCAGTCTCCCCTACAGGTTAGGGGCAAGGGCGGCCCAGGGCCACTTGCCTGCCCAGTGAGTTGGGATGTCAAAGGAGGTTAGAGGTGAGAGAAGGTGGATCCAAGCCAGAGTCCTTGAAAGGAAATTGATGATCAGGAACTGAAGACACCAGATCCAGACACAAAGCCAAAAGGGCAGAAGTGGGATCATTAGCTGGAACCAGCCAGATGTTGTGGGAGGTCTGCATGGAAGTGTGAACAGGCTGACAGTGATGAGGAACATCTCAGATGATGGCTATGAACACCAGTAGGTACGAGATCCTCTTGAAGGATTGGCAAGCCTGTAGTGTGTGTGTCAGGCTGCTAAGGATCCCCATGGAGAAGAGAGTGGGAACCACCCGGGGGATGTGCCACAGCACAGATACTGGGTTTGTCAGGGGTACTCCCTGGACATAGGGACGGGTTTCCCCCAAGGACAAGAACCTTCATTGCATCCATCAGCACATTCCTGCCAAACACCAGTGTACCTGATGTGCCCCTGGATCTATCTTTTCATAGGCCAAGGGAAAGGAGCCAGAAAGCCTAGGAAATGTTCCTGCAGGATGAGAGATAAAATGGCGTCTCTCGTGGATCCCACCCTGAGTTAGTAGCTGCAAAGGGATGTATTTTGGGACAGGAGAATGGTGTGAAGCAGGAATGGGCCTGGGGTCTGGCCAGCACATGGTGGGGTCAGAAACCAGCATGGAGTGAACCTGGCCGTGTTTTGCTGCTTATACCCTATGCATTTATTTCCCCTTAGCTCTCTCTTGACAAAGTCTTTGGGAAAGTTCTGTGGGCCACTGTGGAGGAGACAGAGCATGTCAGGTGAGAAGTCCCAAGGGGAAGTGACTCTGAGGGTCACTCTTGTCCAGCCATCCCTTGATGCCTGCTGCTTCTCCCTGGAGCACACCTTTGCTCACCCCAATGGGCCTATGCTTGTTTTTAACAAAGAGGCAAATAACTCCCTTGAGCTGGGAGATCAACTTTCCCATACCTCTGCCCCCAGCCAAGTAGCTTCTGAAGTCCTCTTCTTCCTGAAAATTCAAGAAGTTTCACCCTGCGACCCCCTCCCCTTGTCCCCAATCACACACACATGGACCGGGGGTTAGAAACTGGACATTCACAATGAGTCCGTGACCCTCAACCGTAAGCCCCATTCCTCCACCCAGACTCTTTCACCTTGTGGGAGCTGAGCCAAGCCCCACTGGGGAGAAACCCTGCTTACCCTGATCCCGAGCTCGACGTTCTCGCCTCCGTAGACCTCCATGCCCTCGTCCAGCAGGCCGATCTCCTGGAAGTACTGCCGGTCCACAATGAAGCAGCCAATGAGGGCGGGGCTCCTGGGGGGGTGGGGACAGCAGTGAGCCAAGGGGCTGTCTCGTGGGGGCCGCCTGAGTAGTGAGAGGAGGAAGGCCTTCCCACCAGGAGGCTCTGGCCCTCTCCCTGCCTTTGCTGACATGGCTAGTGTGGGCCTCGTTCTTGGAGCTGCCTTCCAGGTGCCCTCCCCCAAACTCTCCGGGGAGGCAACAGGCAGACAGCTCCTGTCCTGGGACCAGCCTCCACTGCTGGTAGTGCTCACGTGTGTGCTGGCCCAGAGAAGAGGTGCTTGGCCTGCCAGTCTAAAGCGATCGTCTATATCTCGAGCTGCCCAGACCCCTGACCTCTGAACCACACAGCCCATCTCTGCTTCTGCCCGGCTCCCATGCCAACTTTCCCACCCTTCCCCAACTTGGGTTCTGCATGTCAGCCTTGGTCCACTCAGAAAGATTAGCTGGGAGCAGGTAGTAAAGGGCTTTGGATAGCATGGTAAATAATCTGGATCTTATCTGTAGGTAAAGGGGTGTCAATGAGGAATTTTAAGCAGGAGAGTGGCATGAGCAGATCTGTGTTTTTTAAAGCAGTAGTCAGGCACCTGTGGGGTGACTGACTGGAGGGGACTGGGTGGGAACTGAGGAAACCAGGTGGGAAGCTTGTTGCCATATCCAGGTGAAAAATGATGAAGACCTCGATCAAAATACCAGGAACGAGACAGGGATTGTTTAAAGGCATATTTGGATGTAAAAACAGCAGAGGGAGAGAGAGGAACCTGGGTGCCAGCTGGCTTTCTGGCTTGGGGAATGGTGGATTGGGGGCCGCTCATCAGTTTGTGGTGCAGGAGAAGCAGCTGGTTTCAGAAGGAAGAAGCATTCCATGCTGGCAAAACTGAGCTTGAGGTGCATGTGGGACACCAGGGGGAGACATCCAACAGGCAGGGCTTAGGTAGATGGTCTGGGTCTGAACTCAGCAAGGGTCTTAGGCTGGAGCAACACTTCAACAGCCTTCCTTACTTGGTGGGGGTGTGAGCTCAGGGCTCACCAGCTAGTGCAGACACCCAGCGCAGGACATCACCGGGAGTGATTCACGTTAGGTGAATCAGCATGAGGGCTTCTCTGCTGGGACCATTGCTTACACAATTTCTTTGACTGTTTCCACTACATGTGCTACCATTTATGGCCCTTGCCTGGCATTTTATCAGCCCATGGATGAAAGATTTGGTGGCAGAGAGAAAGGATAGGAGAAAGGAAGAATCTTCTTTAATGAGCAAACTGTCAATCCCATGTAAATGTGCCCATGTTTGTAATTAGAAACTCATCAAGATGGAGAAAGGTCTATTTTGCAGGCCATTTCCCTAGGGAATGCTAATGCAGGAGGCTGCTCATGCAGAGACTGGCACTCTGGGGTCACTGCCCCTTCTCCTTTCAAATCCCCACATTTTCTTCTGAATGGCTTCACCCTCCACAGACCACAGGCTTTCAGGGCAATCAGTCTGCTCCTAACGTAGGCTGAGACCCTGCTCTGGTAGAGGACACTGAACCCAGGCCTTATAGGTAATCAGTATGGGAAAAATCCCCCTTCCGGCTGTGTTTCTGAGAGAAGTTCCTTAGCCTCTGAGCCTCCAATTCCATATCTATAATATAGAATCAATCATAACCTCACGTGGACTAAATAAATAATGTAAAGCACTTGAAATCCTCTGGGACATAACTAACACTCAGAGGGTCATTTAAAAAGATGCCCTTGGGCCAGCCCGTGGCTCACTCAGGAGAGTGTGGTGCTGATGACACCAAGGCCCCAAGTTCGGATCCCATACAGGGATGGCTGGTTAGCTCACTGGGTGAGCGTGGTGCTGACAACACCAAGTCAAGGGTTAAGATCCCCTTACCGGTCATCTTTAAAAAAAAAATAATAATAATAATAAATAAATAAATAAATAAATAAATAAAAAGATGCCCTTGCACATTGGAGAAGCCCAGAGGATCCTGTCTAAACAGATGTTTTAGAAACATATACCCAGCAGAGCAGGGCCTCAGCCTTTTCCTTTGCATTCCTGAAATGTTAGACAGGACAGGGCATTCAGAAACGTTGCTTCCAGGACATGCTGGAAAGGGCCTTCCTCAAACTGCCAGATCCAGCCAGGGAATGAGCAGAATCTGAAACAGTCACTCTGGGATGAACACAGGCCACCACATGTGGGCTATTACTTATTAACCAGCTAGGGTATTAAGTAGACTCATCAGCCTGAAAGTGTTATTGTTTCATACACTGCCTCATTCCTGAAAGGATTAGAAATAGCTTATGAGAAGATGTAAAACCACTGAAAAACATAAACAGATAAATGTCCGGAAAGACCTAAAGATTACAACATGTTGGGACCAGTTAGAAAGCACGTGCAGACCTAGGTCTTTCTTCACAGGCCTTCCAGTGGCCCCGAAAACTTGGCCCTGAGTACTTGTTGACCAAAGTGAAAATGAACATGCACAGTCTTAGAAATAAAATTTACAGCTCTCATGTGAAAATGTCATACTGATTGATTCCTCAGGGATAGTAAGGTTTTCTTTGACCGGCAGTTGGTTTGAAAGAAATTTCTTATGCAGATCTTCTTAAAGAGGTCACTTGGGGACCTAGTGAACAACCAACTCAAAGACATCCCTTTAGTATGCAATAGATGATATCTCTGGGCTCTTTTTATAGCTTACACCATGTGTGGGCAAAGCACTAAAGTACAGCTCCAAGGAAAAAGAGCCGGGATGGGCAAGATACATTTGTATAAATCACAGCTTTCTGTGGGGCTGTCTTCTTCCAGGAATAAAACCAGAATGTTCTTCCAAAAATCTCCCATAAATGTCATTTCTCTTGACCAAGGTTTTCATAAAAATTGGGTGATGGAAAATTTGAGTTGAGATGACATTATCCAGCAAGAACCTAGAATGCAGGTTTGCTGATTAAGACCAGACTGATACACCTAGAGATGAGCAGAACAAAACCAGCTAATAACAATGCAGTCTTCTGGCATATTTCCCTTCAATAGCATTCAGCAGACCTGGGGCAGAAATTAGCCACACCGGCTCTGAGCTCAACAGCGGCCAGCTGGAGAGGGTTGATGACCAGCCTTGGCGTCTAGCTGACCTGGGTGGGCCCTGGCTCCACTGCTCAGAACTTTCAACAGGGCTATTCTCCTCAGTCTTGCTCTCCTCATCTTGTAAGACATGGATGACATAATGAGCTACACCAGGTTGTGATGAATGTCAAATGAGACCATGTGTGTAAAAGGCCCTTGCACACAGCAGGCTCCCAGCAAATATTTAACATAAAATTGTGGCAGGGGCTTAACAGAGTGGGTAACAGAGGTAACCACAGGAAGGTTAAGTGGGGTTCTCTTCCACCTTCTCTTAAATATGAACATATTTTTATCTTCCAGCAAAGAAAAATGTGATCTTAGGTAATAATCTCTGGCTTTCAATTAAATTTCGCATAATCTTTCTCCCTCATGTGATGCAAAGCAACATCAGCTTCTAATCTCTTTCATTCTAGGTGGCCCCCTAGGCCTCCTTCTGGTGCTGTCCGTGTATTTAATGGGCAGGATTTTGCAGGAAGCACAGACACCCACCCTGTCATCAACCCAGGCAGAAATAAGGGCTGGTGGGGATGGCCATTGCAGGAGTCTTGACCAATAAAAGCAAAGGCCACACAGGGGAGTCATTCGTGTGCACAGGAAGACTGAAGCAAAGGCAGAGTGTGGGATCTCTGAGATTCAGTTTGAAGCCACTTTTGTCTGAGTCCTACAGGATAAAACTCAAATATTGCCAAGGTGTACAAGATCCCCTGGAGGCTGGTCTTGCCTCTCCACCCTCCGGCTTCATTGCCTGGGGCTGCCCGGCTCACCTCCTCCTTCCAGTCCCTTTGAACCTCCTCTGTGCCCATGAACTTCACGGGTGTGTGCCCATTCCCCAACCTAGCAGTCTCCTACTCACCCTTAAAAACAAGGGCAAGTGCTGCCCTCTCTGAAAAGAATGCCCCCCAAATTCCAAGCAGTTTCCACCTGCATGGTAGAATCATTTTTTACTCCAATTATTTTGTCTGTCCTCACTAGACTCCAAGCCTCTGGGGGTGAGAACCGACTCTTTAAATTTTTTTATTTTATCATTACACAATGTAAACATTTTTTGTGTCCCTTTCCCAGTTTCTCCCTCACCCCCCTCCCCCTACCCCGGGAATCAAATCTTAATCACCCTAGGATCACCAGCACCCAGCACAGCAGGCGGCACCCAGCAGGGGTGCCAAAGTGAGTAACTTTGAGGCTGTGAGTGGATTCTGGGTATCATGGCTCTTTTTAAAGAGATCATTAGAGCCTGTGGACAGTGACTGAAGATCATACTGTTATTCTTTTCTGCCGTCCCCACCCCTTGCCATCCCTGTGGATGGGACTGGAGTTTGAAGGGCCAAGGCAGAGAGACCCCCAGATAAGAATGCTTTACCTGATTGGGGCTGTGGAGTTCTCCAGCTTCCACCAGGCCTTGGGGGGATTTAGGTAGCGGCACCACAGCTCCCAGTCAAAGCCCTGGGCGGCCAGCGGGTACTCTTCTATCTCAAAGTTGTCATATTTGATGTTGTCAAAGGACGGTGAGATGATCCGTTTCCGGTTCTCCTTTATGCGGGTGAGGACGGGTTCAGCCCTGAGCCGGGGGTAGCGAGAGAGGGATAACTGCTTCCGAGGAGGACAACAACCAGATTAGCATCTTTTAAAGGCCCTTACCCCGCAGAAAGAGGAAGGACCACCTGGCCCTCTCCTCCCCTGGAGAGGTGCCCTGCCTCCTGGGAGGAGCCCCTATGTAGCCTCCCATCCCCGGAGGACTTCTGGGTTGGCAGGAGGCCTGACCGCTCCTTCACATGCCCAGAGCTGAGCTGAGATTCTTACTCCAGCCAGTCTTGTGTCAGCTGGCTTTCCTCGTCTCCACCAGAAAATAAATTAAGGCTTAAAAAAGAAGAAAGGAACAGATCCGAGGTTCCAGTGGAAGCTTTCAACTTAGGCTTTGATTTTGCTAAAATTCAGTGTATCAGCTTACAGGGAAAGACAGATCTGGATGGCAGAGTCACAGAGATGAGCACGAACCTATGTCCACCAGCCATGAGCTACTGCCTTGGAATGTCAGCTGTGCCACCCACTCCCACCCAAATGCCCATGCAGAGGTGGGGCATCTGGGCTTTCCCAGTGCAGGCACTGGGTGAGTAATGTGTTTGCAGACAGGAATGATAAGCTTCTCATTAATAATACATTTGGGGCATACTTGTTTATTCAAATCAGCTTGAAATAGTAAGTGTCCCTCTCTTATCCTGGCCATAAATCCAATGAAAATGTTTTTTAAATAGTCACAAATAGCAAGCAGGGACTTCAACTATAAAACATGGCTGCATTGCAGACTTAATTTGAGACCGTTATGCCAGAATCCAGTCCAGGCTGTGTGCATGCCCTGCTACTCCTTCCTGCTAAAGTGCCCTTCTCACCCCACTCGCAGGAGGCAGAGGCTGGCACTGTGGGGTCTGAGGAGGATAGCAGACCCCAATGTCATCAGGCATATTTGTAAAAAGGGTGGTAACCTACTTGCCCAGCTACTCGGAGTCATCCCCAGTGCCTGTGCCTCCCCGGCCCAGGCAAAGCCACACACCACACCCTGCAGGGACATCAGCATCGGGTGCCCTATCCTTACTCGGCTGTAGCCACTGAGGCTTCTTGTCTGTTCTCTTGCCCTCCCAGCACCTAAGCAGCCCTGACCAGAGAAAGCAAGAAGTTCCAAGACTCAGTTTTATTGTTAGGGAGAATCTGAGATTACATATCACCTCTGGCCTGGCATTTGGGAGAGTCCAGGCCACCTATGACATTAAGCCACCTCCACCAACCTCTGCCCACTTGGACTTGGCCCTGTGTGTGAGGTTGGGCTTCTGTCCCATGCCTGGTCCAGCTCTGCCATCCCAGGTGTTGGAGCCCTGTGCTCGGCTCAGCAGGCTCTCTCTGCTTCGCCCTTCACATTCATCCCTCTCCCTGGTCAGACCTTCCAGAGCACCATGCCAACCGGAGCCACAGCTGATGCCACCACACCCTTTGGGCACTGCATTGACCTTCACCCCAGAAGGCCAGTCTTGTTGCCTAGGTCCCTCACACACCATATCCCACCTGTTCCCAGACTTCCCTCCTTTCACTCCAGCCCATGACTGAGACCCCAGCATGCTTCGCACACGTTTGGGCTGAAGCCACTCACCATACTGGGACTCCTCCCCCTCTCCCAAGGGGCACTTACCAGCCCACATTGAACTCCACGTGGGCATCGAAGAGTGCCACCACGGGGGCGGTGGCCACCCGCCAGCCGCTGACCCGGGAGCGGATGAGGCCTTCCTGCTTGCTGTGGCGCACAACTTTGATGAAGCCCGGCTTCTGGCCGTTCACCTTGTCCACATACTCGGTCAGCTTCTCCTTCAGCTCCTCTGTCAGGGAGAAAATGCATCCTCAGCACAGTAGGGGCAGGGTGGGCAGGGGGCAATGAAAACACTTACTGTTTAAGGTGAACTGACCCCGAAGACAAGCTAGAGGGCCCATTCCCCTCCCAGGTCTTCCTCGGTGTTCCCCACGCTGGCCAGCATAGCTGACCTTTGAAGGGAAAAACAGGAGACAACAGTATGGAGTCCCCTCAGCACGCACAGGGTCACGTGCCAAACATATTGTGTAATTAGTCTTCACAACAAGCTAGTGGCAAATGGGGCTCAGAAGGGTTTTTCAATTTCTCCAACATCATGCAGCATATGAGTGGCAGAGTCTGATTTCAAACCAGGTCTAACGACTTGAAAAGCCTTGCTCTTCTCATCAGCTCTGCCACCTCCTTCGCAGTGCTCTCCATCGGTCCTCCTCCTGCCATGACCGCAGCCTGGGACCTGCTCCTGGCTTGGATCTCCATCTTCCCAGGAAGTGGCCGACGGGAAACGTGGCCATGCGAGCAGCTGCGTTGGTTTGCTGCCCGCTATTGCTCAGCCTGGCTACGCACTCGCTGCTGCTGCTTCTTTATAACTGTAAAGGGCGCTTGTGGCAACAGGAACAGGCCCCAGTGGCAGCACCCTCACCCTCGGCAAGTGACAGCACAGCAGCCACATGCACTGTTTGCCACAGCAGCTAAGGCAAGAGCCTATGACAGCCCCCATAGTTGTTTGAATGGGATTTTAAGGTTCGTTTTGAACTGACTACCCACCTCAGGGTGTGAATCCCCTGTCTATCTAATGAGTGATCATCTGACCCCTGCAATAATGGAATTCTATACAATCTGTTCCTTATTAGGCCACTTCACCTTCTTGATGTTCTTCCTTCTTTTGGCCTCCAAATACCACGATCCCTCAACATTCCTCTCATTAGTCCAATGGACCTGTTAGGAAGCCATAGAGGACAGATCAATTCCCTCTTCCACACGGCAACCTTTTAGAATTGAAGATCATTCTTAAGTCCTTACTAAAGACTTCTCTGTGTCAAATATCTTCAGTTCCTCCTTATATTTCCTCATATATCATTCTTTTAAATTATTTTAGCATTGAACTCCCTCTAAATATGTTAGTTTTCCTCTAACCTCTTTAAATTATGCACCCAGAAGTTGACCCAATACTCCTAAAGTAAACTGTGATATACAGAATAGAGGGAATTAATCACCTCCTTTAATCTAGAATTTATGCTCCTATTAATATAGTCTAAGGTCACACATCAACTTTGTCTATTTTTGACTCAAAATAAGTTTACTGGAAACATATACCTGCAAGATCTTTTTCCATGGTGCTACTAACTCAGGCCTCCTTTATCACATCTCTTCGTGGATGCATATGTATGCAGCTGCATGCATGGGTGCTTATGTGTGCATGTACGTGTGCATGCTATGAGCCAAAACATAGGATCTTATGTTTATTTTTTATTTTTTGGCCCATGCAATATATCTTTAATTTAAATTACATCTTAACATGCAAAAATTAGGGTATGTCACATTAAATCCAGATTTAGGGTTTTTCTTGAAAAACTGTACCTGCATTTCCAAATGGCAGGAATTGAGGAGAGGCAGCCACCCCCAGAAGGGACACATGCTATCCAATTTGCCATTGTCCTACTGCAGTTTTTTTACTCTTATTTAATTCAGTCTTTCTAAAGATTGATATTATTTCTTTGGATGTCAAAATGTTTTTGTGCCCTGATTCTGTTATCCAATGTCTTTGTTATCTAGCCCTGCCAGCTTTTCAGCTCCTGCAAAAGTGATGCGCATTTGGCCTTTATTGTCATTCAAGTCATTCTTTTCAACAGTGTGACCCCTGTCCTAAGCCAGAGCCAGTGGAGGCTGTCAGATGTTCTCATTCCAGGCTGGAGAAAATTCGGCTGACATTTGAGCTGCCACTAACATGCTGTCTATCTCACTTCAGCCCATATGAAAATGACCTCGTGATCTCCCATTGCCACAGCTGCCTGGGGGAGGCCTGTGGAAGCCACTGTCTCACAAGTGTCAGGATATCAGCCACAGCATGGCCTAACTCAATGTGCCCCATGCTCACAAAGTCTTTAAGCACAGTTGCCAGGGAGCTTCTTAAAACATTTACTGTTTCATCACTTTAAAGGTCCATCCCTTATATATCCCTTTTGAAAATTTTAAGTAGAGCTTATAAAGCCTGATATTTGGGCTTTTGATGGTGGCAGTTAAGTGGTGAGTGCACAGAACTTGGAATGAGAACTGGGTTAGTACAAAATGACCTGACATAGGCTCCCACCCCTCCCCCAGGAGTGCATACCTGTGCCCTTCTCTCGCTCCCCACCCTCTGCCAGTGGGGGCCATTGTTACTAAGGAATTGATGTGAGCATACTGTGGATGATTACCACCAAATGTCCCCATGAACACCGCCTCCCTGAATTCACATCCTTGTGTGGCTGCTGGGTGCACTAAATCTGGGTTGGACCCATGACACTGCAAGAGAGATGCTATGTGAGATCCGGGCCTAGGCCTCAGGGATCTGGCAGCTTCTGCTTTCACTTTCTTGCTGTTCTAAGTAATGAAGCCCAAGCCAGCCTCCTTGAGGATGAGAGGCCCAGGAGTCCCCAGTCATTTAGGCCACCCCACAAAGGCCCCAGACAGGTGAGTGAGGCCATCTTAGATCCTCCAGCCCCAGTTGAGCCACCAGCTGATTGCAGATGCCGGGGAGAGCCCAAACAACACCATGTGGAGCAGAGACAAACTGCCTAGCAATCCTAGCCTTTACTGCAGCATTGTGAGCCAGTGAATAGTTGCTGCCTCACACTGCTAACTTCTGGGATGGTCTGTTATACACAAAGGCTAACTAAACAGTGTCTATTGTTCTGGTATAGTGCTGGGGTTAAAATAAGATTGTGGGGCTGGCGGTTAGCTCAGTTGGTTAGAGCACAGACTTGCAACACCAAGGTCAAGGGTTTAGATCCCCTACTGGCCAGCTGCCAAAAAAGAAAAAAAATAAGATTGTGAACTCATAATGCACAGGAAATGAAGTCAGACACACAAGAACCAGCTTAGAGGTGCGGCAGCAAGAGATGGAGGCTTTGCCTCTTGGAAGAGCTACTTGCCCTTCTGTACCTCTGAGCTCTGTTAACAGAGAACTAGAATGAAGGTTTCTAGTAGACCAGCTAGTGAAATATTCTTTCTTCAGTCAGCTGCATCCCCCAAAATGTGATACTGATTAGAAGAGGGGATTCCCTTAGCCTTAGTCAAACAACTGCTACCAAAAAAAAAAAAAAGAAAGAAAGAAAGGAAAAAAGAAAAAATGTATTGAAATACTCTGGATGATACTCAGTCTTTGCAAATTACCTTTACCTAATATTTGCCTAATTATGTTTTCATGTTTTTCTTCAACCTTTGCTAATTGCCAGAGTAAGAGAGAACTATCTGAAATGTACTTCTGAATTTGCTGGGAAACTGTTGTCTAAGATATTGTCTGTTACATATTATATATATTATGTATGTTGCCTATTAAGTTTAAAAAAAATATATAATTAGTACCTCTCAGAACTTAGCTCCAAAAACATATAAGGAACTTATGTTATTCCTTATACCTAAACACAACCACATAACCCATCAGATTTGCCTTTTTGCTAAGGCTGCCAGGAAGCTCAGGGACAAACAGAATGACTGATCACAAAGGTTCTACCAGCAAAAGGTTCTGAAGCAGTTTTGCTTCCCTACCTTTGCTAAAGCTTTGATTTTTAAATTCTAGTTTAAAAGCTGCATTGTCTCTTCCTTTTTTGCCCCTGTGTAAGCTACCTTTAATTATTATTTTTTGAAATAGCTACAAATAACATTTAATAATGTGTCTTAGCAGAACAGGACAGAGTATAACTGTGGAAAGAAGGAGCAAGCTATATTTTGTGCTTGTTTTAATGTGTTGGGGAAAGAGGAGGTAGGGAGTCTGCTCTTTGTGACTCTGCCAGATTTAGAGTCAATGCAGAGATGTCAATAGCCAGTGTTGACAGAGAAATACAATTTGCACCCTGCATGGCGCCAGGTGTCACCCTATTTGTGTGGCTCCTCCAGCCTTCCCCTGCTGTCCACAAATCCCTGCTCTACTGACATCTGGGGGACCTCTATAAACCAGCACTCCAGAAGCCATGCTGATGAAACACCATTTGCCTCTTAGGAGGTCACAGGCCACTCTCCACATCCCCGTGTGGAGGATCCCCTCGGAGCCAGCTAAGTGCACGCTGCTCCCCTGCTCTCACTTCTTCAGACATTGATGCCAAAGAAGAATGGGAAATTCACCAGCCTGGTCAACAGAGCCCTTCTTCTCTCCCCATAGAGGCCCCTTGTACTGCTTCCAAAAAAGTGCTTAGCTCCATAGGGTCAGCCCCAAAGAAACAATGCAGGCTGAGCTAGAGGGGTCTGGCACCCACGTCTGGTAATCTGATTTAAACACTTAATGGGACACTCTGATCTCATGTATAAAGGAAACTAAAAGATTAGGAAGTTGGTGATTGATGGGGTTTTGCTCTTTGGAAGGCAGCTGCACAGGGGTTTTGCAAAACAGCCAGGTCCAGCTCCTCATCTCTCCTTCAGTGTTCAGATGATCATTTCCCATGTCTGCTCTAGGTTCAGGGAAGTAGGAGTGAAAGGAGAAGCCACTCATCATTCATTCATTCAACAAATACTGAGCACTTACTACGAACCAGGTACTGATCTCCCTGCTGTGACTGTAGCTGTGAACAAGACGGTCTGCAATAGACTGAATGTTTTTATCCCCCAAAGATTCATATGTTAAAATCCTAACCCTTAATGTGATGGTGTTAGGAGGTAGGGCCCTTGGGAGATAATTAGCTAATGAGGGTAGAGCCCTTGTCTTAGTTTGTTCTATGCTGTTACAACAGAATCCTTGAAACTGGATAATTTATAATGAACAGGAATTTATTTCCTCACAGTTATGGAGCCTGGGAAGTCCAACATGGAGGTGCTTCA